CATGTCGCCATTTTCAATGGCGACAGTGGAGAACGTCCAGGCACGGGCGCGCCGCAGGTGGAGGCAGCCCGGTGCCACATCCACCTTCTTTGACTATACATCTGGCCGGTATAGCTGGCTTCTTCCAGGATGGGTGGTCGAAGAGCGACGGATGCCCAGTAGCAGGCTCTACAGAGTAACCATGTCTCCATATACCTTCTTTTTTTCCATTGTTGTTTTGGTGTTTTTGTTTATGTGACAATTTTTTTTTTCTTAGGATAATTAAGGTTTAAAATAATTTAAAATAAAAGGATGAGCAATCAGATGTGAATCGGTAGTGAAATTCACAGATCAGATAGTTTATGTTGGATTATTTTTCTTATTGAAAATCATTTGCATGCATTGATAAACAAAACAAGTACAACGTTTGGGAGGTCCAATACCTTCTTTTTTTTTGTCGAAATTACAAGACCAACAAGATTGATTTGTTTGTGGATCTGATCCTTTTAATTGTATCTAAAATTAAAGGATTGTGAAGGGAATTTCCTAAAATTAAAAGATTTTATGAAGGGAATTTTCAGAAATTAAAAGATATGGTGAATGTAGATTTGAGACACTAAAAGATCGTGAAGGGAATTTTTTTGAAATTAAAGGATCGTGAAGGGAGTTTTTTTAAACTAAAGGGTTGTTAAGGGAATTTTTGTAGTTAGTTGTGGGAAAAAATATTCTTGCATACAATTAGTGTATACAATGTTCTTTTTATAGTTATACCCTAACGTGTTGACCACGTAATCAGAAAAGAGGCGTGTAAAAACACGTGGTATGCAAGAATTTCTTCTCATATGACCATATATATATCCTCCAATCCCCTTGTATATGTCTAAATTTAATTCTTACACTTCCTTTGATAAGATGTAGCTTGTCTTCTTTTTTGGTAGGCTTTATTTAATTATGTGTTCTTAGCTGAATATTGATTGAATATTCAAATTGCTGACTATTGAATTTGTGATGGCAGTACTATTACGACCCTTCAGGTCGTCTGTATAACACCAAATACGAAGTGGTTCATGTTTGGGCACAGAATGGCATCATCTTGATCGAAGACTGAAGATACTTATGTCTGTGTTTGACTGCAGATGTTTACATGACCAAGGACCTCCTTTCAGCTGTTTTTCTTCCTAGCTTTCGATCATTTAGAGTAGTTTTGATGTACAGAAGAAGAAAATCCACCAGTTCCTGTATAGTGTTCATGGATTTGTACTTAGAGATGTTTAGTTTTACAAAGTTTTTTTAAGTTATTGAATTGCCATTTTCATTTGGTTTTCCATTTGTTGATCTTGAATTCACACATATTACGTGTTCAAATCCTCTTATAATCTTTCAAGTTTTGAACACATATTAGTTGTCAAAAACGAAAATTGAAAATTGAAAACACATTCCAGTTTTCTAAAAAATGAGGGTGATTTTGAAACCCCAAGCCACTCAATGAATTGCCACGTCTCCATATACAAATTTCTTGTTGTTTCTATCATATCATGACCTAGTTCTTCTCTGTTGATTTTCTTAGTGGAATGTTTCTAACTTTGGCATCAATTTTCAGGTTAAAAGGAAAAAAGGATCCCAATATATAGAGTATAGCCGCTCGGCTATACAATTAAAACAAATATAAAAAAACCCAGTAAAGCCGGGCGGCTATACTATGTTTTTTATATAAAAAAATCGCGTATAGCCGCGCGATTTAATTTCAGTGAAGCTGGCTCACATAGCATTTAAGTCAACAAGATAATAAAGACAACGTTGCCAACAAAGTCATGAGTATTGATTTGAATTAGATGAAATTACCATAATATTCTTAAACTTGTTCTTTTGATTTTGAAACTCAAAAACATAGAAGGAAAAGGACGTGTAACTCCCCATACCAAGCAGGCCCACAACACAGGATTGAGCTTTTCCAAAACAAAATTCAAAACTCTTTGACCAAACCCAAAAGAAAAATTAGCCACTTAGGATAATCTCATGTGACTAATACCTAACTTTTCTTAAATTTTATATGGATGATGACAAGGTTACTATATATTGCAGAAAATTCACGAATGTCTCATGTGTAATTTCACAACCTAGATTTCTACAACACCAAACAATTCATATTTGGGCAGAGCATGGCCTCATGATCTTGAATCTTGATTGAAAGCAGCTGGTAATTGATTGTCATATAATCATATTCACATATGTTTGTGTCTCAAATTCACTCAGGAAGTTGCCAACCATAGAACTTTTCGACCGTTTTTCCTTCTTAGCTTTCGCTAGTTTAGGGTTGCTTTGATATGAAAGTAAATCCACCAGTCGATGTATATTGTTCTTGGATTGTGTATAGACATCTGTAGTTGCCAGATGATCTTTCGTAACAAGTTGCAAGCTAATGCAGTGAGCAAGTTTGGGTTCTGCATACATCTTCAATGCCTATATACTCTGGTCTTTGATATATACACATTACGACACAAGAATTCACATATAGGTGAAGTAAATCCTCTTATGATCTTTCAAATTTTCAATTGCCTATACATACCAACTAAACCGGAATGGCCACCAAATTCCCCATCAGGCCAGAAAACCATCATCTTCTTGGCAAGGATGGGGCAATAATCTCCAATTTCTAAAGTCATTAGTTTTTACTTTATATGATCAATTCATTCTGAATCCAAGCAGAGAAAAACATCTAAAAGACTACAAGCCCCTTTAGACAGGTTTCCCCTTTAGACAGGCTCTCACAATGAAAAGGCACAGCTAGAACAGCCAAAAATCACTCATCAACGTAATTATTGGGTAAAAAATTTCGTAATTCAAGTAAACATTCTGGTTGTTCTGCTGGGGAAGTCATGCAACTCAGCATTTGTAGAAAAAAGAAAGCGATACAATGACAAAACTTCCTTGGCCCACACAAATAAGGGGAAAGGGATTACATTTATGAGGATATCAAAGAAGAAGAACAGATTCAAAAAATTTATAATAAAAAAAAACTGATGCACCGTAGTCAAGCAAGAACTGAGTACCACCTAGTTCGGCTGTTGATGATGCTGGACTGAACCTGCATCAATTCCAAAAACCTGATGGTGCTGCTTGATGCGAGCGTAGAGTACGTAAAGGAATAAGGTATGACTCCCCAGCAAGAACGAATATTGAAAATTTCTTCACTATAGTATGCCTTATTGCTATTCATGTTGGCTATATGAACTTGCCTTCATGTTCTGAATCTCTGGTTCACACTTATTGAAGGTCTGGGAAAAAAATTTATGAAAAGCCGCATTACAAGTCTCTCTCCGAGAGCTCTCTCATCTTAAGAGCCCAAAATCTGTACATCTCAATTAGTCCTGAACAAAGAGTGCCTCCGCCTATCAGGCTTGTGTCTCCTAATATGATCATTGTTTATGGGCTTCAACATTCTATCTGCTTCAATTTCAGACTGAAGCAGAGACTGCAGCATCTTCAACTGTCCACAACATTGCTTGTGGTCAGAAGAGTAGGCACCATTAGCATTCTCTTCATCTAGATTAAACTCTCTCTGGTAGGGTGACTGCCATTTCGCTTGCAAATAAGCAAGTGATCTCCATGGAGGTAGAGGCATTGAGTTCTGCTTCAGGGAAGATCTAGCAGCTTCAACCATAACTTGAAGAAACTGTTTCATCCTAGTCAAGGAGCCCACATAAACAACTGGTAGTGAATTCAATATTCTATCATACGAGTGAACAGCTCTAGCTATTTCAAAGTGGCTTCGGAAATCAAGGTCAATGATGAGACGCTCCGAGCTCCCCGAATTGTTGTAGTTGACCACATCAATATATTCATGATCCCCTGTGAAACGATGTTACGAAAACAAAACTGTCAAAAATGATTGAAGTTGAGAATTCCCACTCCTCAAACAGAATCAGAAACCTACAAAACCCAGTTAAATTGAGCAGACAGGACAATTCCCACAAGCCCGCCTGCCCATTTTCATTTTGTGGAAACAATATTGAAAATAGTATACAAACTATATAAGAGACATTCTAAACTGATTGCTTAATAGAGTGTGTGGGATCATAGAATCGATATAATGGTACACTCTGGGTTCGGTTGACATCCAAAATAGGAAACAGATATAATCAGAGTGTTTTATGCACCCAACAAAAGAAAAACTGCAGGAAAGAAAAACCCAAATTCTATAAAATAAAGGTTTTGCAGAATTGAGGTGAATGGCATACCTCCAGGGACCTTGCCACTGCCCTGCCATCTTGCCACACACACGGCAGCATCATAACCAGAAAGCCTCAGAAGCTTAACCAGAGAAAACTTGAGGCAGCTGGCATTGCATGGACCTGACTTCACAAAATGAAGATCATTCTCACTGATAGACAGTATAAGAGAATGAACCACTGACGTCAAGTCCTTTTCGTACTGAGCCCCTGAGCGCTTGTAAAACTGCGACAGAATGCAACACCATCATTCAAAATTGGGCATAACTTACAGGTAAGACATGAACACATGAAATTGCACAAGTTTAACAAAAACCCAAAATTGCACATAAGTCGTAGGGTGCAAAAACAATCACTTTTGAATTCGAAACGCTAAATTCAGCTTCTAACTCCTAAAGGTTGGAAATTTATCGAAAATTCAACAGTTTGACTCAGAATTTAGAATTAGTCAAAATAACCAATTAACAAAAAATAATTAGTTACAACTTTAAAGTTCAGAAATTTATAAAACAAGTTAATGAAAATTAGTCGTACCGGAATTTTATCAGCGAGGTGAGCGAGATCGGAAAGAGCAGAATCGCTGTCGCTGCTGCACCAAGACTCAGCTCCGGCGCTACCATTTTCCCAGAAATCTGTGACCATTAAAGCGAGGTCGTACTCGCTCTCATGGCTGAAACTCCCTCCGATCTGACCCCTCATCCACACGTCACCGCCCGCCATGCACACCCGGCAGTCCATTTCCCCAACCCCAAACGGCGCCGTTTCGGTTCTCAGCGATCACCACGACCCTTCCTCTTCCTCAAGCGTGGCAACCATCTTGTAATTCAATGTTAGAGCGCGACACACCCAATCATTTCTCCAAGCCCTAGCTCACCGCAGCTCAAAATTAACCAAAATATATTAACAAAAGCTTCGTAATTTATAAAACAAAAATGAAAACAAAAAGAAAAGGGTTCGAATTCTGTGCTTTCGTTTTTGTTTTGGCAAATGGTGACTGGTTTTCAAGAAATGGGTTTATTGGTGTTTTTGGTGTTTGATTTTCGGAGGGAGAGAAAAGGGCGTCTATGGCTTTCTCTCTCTAAAACCCAAAGGATGGAACGAAAGCAATGGGATAGGAGACTTACATATAAAGCGGGAGGAGGGGAGGTGGGTGGGTGGGTGTCAAATGACGAAACTACCCTCGTTTGTTTGCTTAAGCACCAAGAAATTCTCTGGCTAAATCACCACCGAAATAATCGAAGCAGTGGATAAGGTGAAATTGTATTTGGACGGTAATGAGGTGTGTGTTCTTATGTACGATCGGTGCTTGCTGGATTCGTTTCTTAATTAACACACATAAATATCTGTCATTAACAATTTTCACTTCTTAATTGGATTTCTTGTTGTTTGTTGCTCATATTTTCAAATTTTATACCAACCTTTTTTCTAATTTTTTTTTTCACCAGTTGGTATTTGTTGGGTAGTAGGAATATCCTAACCTCCTCCATTTCACAATGTTAACTAAACTATTTTTTAAAAATTAAATATAATATGATTTTTCTTATGTTTAACACGTGAATAATCTAAACAGAGAAAAGTAAAACAAAGCTGGATTTTAAATTTTATTATAACATTAGATGGAGACTTCTCGGCGGACACGTAGCAGGATGAGTGACATACATTTATGAATTTACAATTGCTAATAAAGCTGCGTACAAAATTGAATGAGCCCTAATCTATCACCAACCAATTAGTCTCAATAATTTCATGCTAAAATTGCTAATAAATTGTGTAATCTAACAAAACCCCCTTTAGTATGAGAACTGAGTTAATAAGGACATGGGCATAATGGGAATTCCGCGAATGGAAAATAACATTATATCCCTTGGGGACCAAGTCTCCAACCAAAGTTGAAGAAAACTCAGAAATATCAAAAATTGCTACGTTCACTTCCTGGCTGGAAGATGACGTGAGCCGTGAGTTACACGGAGATATTTCATTTTTTCTGGATCAAATTTGTTGACAGATATTGCCTCAATTGAATTATTTTATAAATGGACCAGTGCCTTGTGTTTTTGCCACCTTTACGGATAAGATTTCCAAAAGTATTCAAACAGTTATATCTATTTATTTCATTTTAAGGGAAATATATTCATATTATAAAGGGAATCATTTTCATGACAACGATACATTTATCATTTTTAAACATACATAATTATCATAAAAGTCTTTGTAACACATAACATTCTAAATATATGGATTAAAGTTTTTTTTAATTTTAATGACAAAGATATATCGTCATCTATGAGTTTGAAATTGAGATCTATTTTAACTAAATAGAGATAAATACCACTAGACCTAATTAATTGGTAAATAAATTTATTTAACGGCTCTATATGACAAATGTAAATATATTTAATTAGATTATTATGCTACTTAAAATGACTATGGGGTAATTTTTTATTTTTTTATTTTTCTATTTTAGGAAAGAAGGTCATGAATTCATAATGTATTTTCTTGAAAAATGATGGTTTCCTCGAAAGTTCGAACAAAAACAAATAATATTTTGGCGCTAATGAGAGCAGAGGCGCCAATGCGGGGACCACACGCTGTGAAGCAGTATCTTTCGCTTTCTGGCGCTTATTATGTGTAGTTTGAAAAACAAAAATGACCGAACCAAACTCACGCTTTCCGTATTGGGTGGTCGGCCAGTTAGGACCAGCACGAAGGAAGAATCCCGTGGCTTTCCTCCCTCCTCTTGCAAATCCAGGACCACTTTCACCTACATTCACGTGGCTTACGCGCCCGCCACTCTACGCTCTTTCCCTTTCTTTCCATCCAACGCTCTGTATTTTTGTTTTCTTTATCCAAGCTATATATATATATATATATATATATAGTCAGAAAATAGGATTATTTGTAACACCACACAGCGGTATGATTATTTGACGATCAGAAAAATCTAACTTTATTTTTCTTTTTATTGCCAAATCTAATCAAACATTGTTAAAATATATATGGGTACAGTCAAAATCGAGCACTGAAATAAAATAAAGGTGAAGCAAATGCCAAATTTTTATTTGTTCTAATTAATTAATTGAAGTCACCATCTTAGAATTCAACAACAAAACAGAAAAATAATACCCAAAAAAAATACATTCCACACGTTTTCTTCGGATTAATGAACGAAAAGAGAAACAAAATTTACAGCAAAAGTCGTAGAAGCTTTAACCGGATTGTATAAAACAGTGAACAGGTTCATGGATCCACTCGGGTTGTATAAGACTATGCAGATAGTAGAATTTGACCAATGTACTACGCAACATCCTTAAACATAAATAATAATAATAATAATAATAATAATAATAATAATAATAATAATAAAATCAAGTTGTAATGTATCTAACCATTGACTTATACCACAAATACTACGTTTATGATCTGTTTATATCTAACCATTTTCGAATTTAAAAACACTCACAGCTTCAACCGTTGGCCATTGGCCAGGCTGGAGCCCATGGTTGCAAAGCATATGCAACGGCACACTGGAACTAAAATTACTTTTTAAATAAATATCAATCTGAAATCTCACCAAAGTTTCTCCCTTTCAGATAAGCATATGGGCAATATAATAATCTTCATCTATCAAAGAGAAGCTAATGATTGAAAAAAATGGACCTCAAAAGAGGGAACCCAATAATTCACAATAAAATAAGAATTTGGGATTTTTTATTAAAAACTTTGGGGTTCTGCAACAACCAGCATATATCCAAATCATGCATTAATTTATGAAGACTAAGTAAGTTGAAAACACAGCACAGCAGTCAGCCCCCTTTATAATTTTAGCTCAACTATGTATCTACTCTGTTTCTGGGTGTATATTGGCCTAACAACGAACACAAAACTGGACAACAACCAAATGCATGTGGCAAACAGAGTATTATAATATTTTCATCTAGAGTGGGGGCAGAGGGAACATGAGGCATGTTATGGCCCAATCTAACTGGACCACTCAGGAATATCCAAATGTACATCCACTCTTTTTTAAACAAGATTCTCTCTGATGATGATTCGGGAAAATACAAATAGACATCTAGGAAATAATAATGTAACTAAAAAAGAGGTAGATGCTGCAGACACAATTATTTTTCAATTTTCTTTTTATTCTGAATGTTCAATTCTTGTTTATTTGAGTGTTTGCACAATCATTACAGCTCATCTATTTCAGAACTTGGAGTAGCAATTTTTAAAAGTGCATGAGAAAGCAAAGTATATGCTAAATGAAACTCATAACTGCATACAGAAGAAAAGCATCAATAATAGAGTTTGCAGGCAGAGAGTATTTGTAGACTGCACGAAACTGAACCATGAAACCAGTTAACAGAATTACAATTAAACTGTCCCCATAACAGACCCAACCATCAAAGCATTAGAAAGATATTCTTGTATTGTATGACCATTGAACTAAACTACCCTATAACAGAGCCTTAACCGATAGTTTGGGTATAAAGTTAAACGTGTCTGAATACATGAGTACTACAAGAAAGTATAACATTAGACCAACAGAAGAAGTAACTTTTTATTAGAAAAATGTTTTATTAAATGTAACAAGATGACATTACTCTGTGATGGTTCAACAGAAAAGATTAATTAACTACAAGGATTCTACTAAATATGGTTTTCAAGGAAAGAAGAACTACTTTCCTTGTGAGCATACTGAAATTAGTGTTTCTGGCTGAATTCAAAGGTACCTGTCGTCACCATGAAAGGTTTTACCGTCTCCGCAGTGGGCGCTGAAAAACAGAAAATATAGTTAATAAACCCTTATTAACTGTATGTCTTGTGGGGTATGTGTGTGTGTGATTCCTTCATTAGAGAAGACTGGCAATCTCTTTGTTTGATGACGAAGTATGCATATCTTACAAACATAAAACACCTAAGATACACAGGGCAAAATAATCAAAAGGAAACTTCACAGTTGGAAAAATGTAACATTGTCGCAATTGTTAATAGAAAAAATTGTCACTACTGTAGTTCCACCTTCATTGACTTTATTAAGCAAAGAAAACCAAAGAGTATGGATCACAAAGGAACATATTTCTTGCTTGTGTTTGTGCTACATATCTTTTATAGACAAGATTGAGTAAGTAACTTAGACAAGTAACCAATTCAGGACCATTAGATATCTTTTCTGGGCCAATATTTTAGTTTTAGTTATGGGAGTGCTTCACCTTCCACAATCCAACTAAGAGAAAAAAATAAAAGAGTATCGAGGGCATAAGCGCATACTCTTTGTATGTTATCAGTTGCTTGTGGCCGTCTGGCGGACATTGCCTCTGGATTCGGAACCAAATCTGGACTGCCATGCTTATAAAATGCCTGTAACGCTCTCCCAACAAATGGGCGAACAACATTCACTTCCATTGCAGATAGATTTTTGACCTGCAATTACAAATCAAATCAACTCAGGAACACCAATCAAAAAGGAAAAACAATGCATCAAAATATGGAAATGATAAATTCTATCGTTAAATCCCATCATGCTGAAAAGGTTAGTCAGACAGAAAATTTTGTAAATCCTAATACTTTTATTTTTATTTTTTTTATCAATTAGCTCATCCAAATGCACCATAAAGAAAGACACATACCTTCACTGCAGAAGAGCGAGCATCCTCGAATGATTCTAAGCTACTTTCGACCTTAAGAAACCTTGCATCCCTTATGTCATTAATAAGAGACCTCACCTATTAGAAAGAACTATAATGAGGCCATTGCAAAATACCATGAATAGTTAGATATAGGTTGAAAGAATCTTCAACTCACCATATATAGGTCAGGAATGTCCCCAGATGCACTATCATCAAGAAAAAAAGTTAGAGCTGATATCAACATACTTGTACAATAAAATATAGAATATGTACAATCGTCAGTACTTACTAATCAAAAAGAAGGCTTGAGATTTCAACGTAATGGAAAGGCAGGACTTGAAATGCTGCCTGAGACTCCCGCTCCGCTTCCAAAATCTGAGTCAAGTTTTCTAGTGTCAAAACAAAATCATGAGTTCACTTAGACAAATGGAAATGAAATTTTTTAAAAATAAAATAAACATATCAAGTACACATTGAGAACTAA